AACACCCTTGCGAAAGGTTTGGTGGGGTTAGGCATTTTCAGTCCTGCCACTTGGGTGTCACATCACTGGTACCCGAACAAAGCCACAATTTGGAGTGTTCACACCTTGTAAACGTCAAACAGAAGGACCAAGTGAATATCTACCTCAGACCTGATTCTCGTCAAAGGTTAATGGAGCAAACCGAATTTACTAATGAGTAGCTTAAAAGCGGCGCTGACGCATTTGAGCCAAATAAACCACAATTGCTGGCAATTCCAAGACTTTAGACCTTTTACTGCGGTGATGGCCCGCGCAGATGCCCGTAGAGCGTCAAAATCGTACAATCATTGAAACGACATTTAGCCTTGGACAAGTTCATGATATGCGATTGGCGTGCAAAAAATGCACGCGTTTTAGAGCTCCCTCCAAAGCACTTTATATTGTAATTTGCTTTAAAAAACGGCATGATACTCCAAGATGCTCAATAAACCGAGTATACTAAAGAAGTGAACTCCTCCAGCCGCGATACGAGCCAATTATATCAAGCCCACTCTTGCCTTCCTGAAGAGTTGAAAGCAAGAACCAAGGTGGAAGTGTGACAATTGAGCCCTGAGGGTGGCATTCATCACTAGAAAAGAATCAGGTGACAAATCCCAAATGTATACGATGTTACAAAGTCGTTTTGCAGCGTCCATCTTCAGATAGGTATAAGAGGTCCCTAGAAGCAAAATAGTCTGTTGCTGCTATAAATAAAACAAAGCCTACCATCTTAGTCAAACCCTTTCAGATTCTATTAAATAGAAGACTTCACGCCACCAGACGGGTAGCCTATGTTATAATAGTTGAGACTTCAACCTTTAGCCTTGAGCTTCTTGCATAAGTTTTTGGATATGAATAGAGGGTAGCAGTAGAAAGAGGAACCGAAAGTTACCTCGAAGTGTCTTAATAGCCACAGGAAGAGGACCATTGGTGCCTCCGGGGAGGTGCATGGCCAGCCTATGGAGGACGAGGCCGAAGGCACCTTCACCAAGAGGCCTCGACCAAAGGGCATCTCATAGGTTGGATCAGAGGGCATCAGAAAACGCACACGCAGTCCCACATCCTCCTTCTCTTTCTTCATACCTTTTGGCATTAAGAATAAAGGCATAAGGTATGCGGAAAAAAATTGAAACAGCTGTATTTTGGCCACAGTTTGGGGCAAATATTCCAACGACACTCTCAAAAACTAATTAACACACTGTTATAATAGACTCAAACAAGGTAATTTAGGTTAGCAGTGGATTAAATTTTAAGAAATTGTCGCTAACATACCACCAAAACTGCTAGCTTCTGTACGTTTAGTGAAAATTACAACACTACCTATTTCAATGCTTAAGAAGCATTTTCAGGACGAGAAATCGGAGGTGGATTTTTAAGGCAAAGCTTACCTTTACAAATCTCATCCACCTCTGGAAAGTGATCTAACTCCCTCTGCTGGTAGAGTGCATTCATGTAGACTCTAAGGCAAGGACGTGGCTCGGGCACCAGCGTCATCTTGGCAGGGTGGTCTTCCTCATATGACATGGGTGCTCCTGTGGCGTGAAGCGACGACTTTCGGATGAGCACACGCTTCAAAATTATTTGTCGGCGTCGACAAGCGCAGTACCAGATGAGGGAGAGGTAGATCTGCAGACCTCCAAACACAAAAAAGGGCTAGACGTACTTGAGAGCCAAAAGGGAAACTACTCTTCAGCTTCTGACTTTCGTGCCTTGTGAAGCTGCTCTTTGAAGGTTAATAAAACTCTAAGAGTTTGTTTTGAATGCTTCTGTCTTACCATATCTCAAGCAAGGACCAATCAAATTATTCAAAATGCACACCCACGGCCCCTAATAGACAACCCACTGACTGGAAGGCATAGCCTACAGCCCATGTAACATCTGCCGAAGGAAATAAATTACGGTAAAGTGCTTCAGATTCAGCTGCTTCAGCTCGGGTGTTTGTGGGAGGGCTATGCGATCGAGCCAGTACTGCCTCTAGGGAAGGGCAATTTGTTGACACGATGCAATCAACTCGTTTGTTTTAATTGGAAAGCTTTAAATAGAAATGTGGTATGACGAACCTTTTGCAATTCGGACTTAAAAGAACTGAAGCCTAATGGCACATTATGGCGTAGATATATGTTACTTGACTATGTTACTTAGAGCGCAATTCAGTGAGAATCAAATCCTATCACATTTAATAAATAGTAGCTTTCATCAATAGATCCTTTTACTTTGGATTTTGCATGTTAGAAAAATGCATTTAATCCGACAACCAAGAAGATTCACAGGTCAGCTGCCCAACGTTTTGTCACTTATTTTGTATAAGAATAGGCGTGGTCGTGGACAGGAGACAAAAAAAGGACGTACACAAATAGGTCACACAATTCCATAGGTGAGTTAACAGAATATACACAGCTAAAGCGAGTTCAGGGAGTGAGAAACAGAGGGAGGAAAGGGTAGGAGAAAGAAAAGGAGAGATCAGGTAAGACTAGATTGAGTTAGATTATAACTTTAGCAATCTGCTCTTAGATTAATTATTTCAGCACAAACTAAGCACACTTGGAAGCCTAAGCGACACCAACTACGATCTAGTTTACGTACACCTACCAACCGTGTTGCATACGAATCAGATTCGATCGTGAATTTGGAAAGCATTACATAGAGCAAAAAACAGGCAAGGCAAGTGTTGAAGTTAGCTACAATGTAAAAACCACATTCAGCACTGATAGTTCCGAAGTTTTTGCTTGGAAAGTAAAGTACTAGAGTGCTATTTGGCTTGGACTCAAAGAGAGTACTTTATGTCGACCGACATGTTTGAAGAACAAAGCCAGGACAGGGTCAAGGTAGTTCGAGAGCATACAAATACGTGAGATTGGTGACTAACTCTTAAATTGAGCAGTTCCAGTGATCTGGTTGATTAGAGTGGGATACAGATGGTGTACGTGTGTTCATACGGGTCCATTTTCAAACTGTCAGGTCTACTTCGCATGTGATTGTCTACTACGAAAAAATGAACTGACCATGACTTGCAAAAGTGCAAAGGCGCTGCTTTGGTGTTAAGGCAACGAAAGGCAAATGCAGCCGGTAGTGGAGATAAATTGTAAGACACCTTTACTTGGTTGTGGTGTACTTAGTGGCGCCCCTCGTCTTCCCCTATTTCCTGCCTCCTAAGGACGAAATGTTTGATGAAGGAGGAAGTGGCAATCAGTTTTGCAAGTAGTGAGCTAATAAGAGATCGCTGCGGTAGTCAATTTGCCGACGAAGAAGAGGAGGAGGGAAGAGACGAACAGGGCACTTTGAGAAACCTGTTAGAGATGTCTAATGCAAAATAACCGCTTCAACTAATTTATTTACCGCATTGTAGTTGTAAATGAGCCGCCAGTCTGAAGAATCGACCCGAGTTAGAACAAGCTAACCCTTTCTTTTTCCCCTTTCCCACCACCCTCAAATCCCGAAAACGCTCAATGTAATCACTTATCATGCATAGCCTTCCGCCTGCCCGTAATTGGGTGAGTGCGTGGATCAAACTCTACAATTCGAGGAGACAAATGTGCAGATGTTCATTTTATGCCTTCTTTAGTGTCAGATGAAACAACCCCTTGCCTCGACTACTTTAGTGACTTTGCCCATGTAATGTCTTTCTTCCTAATATTGCAAGACTGCCCAACAAAGTTCAATCAGAGTTAATTGGCTCGCCTGACCTACATAGTCACTGATTCGTTGTGGATAGGATGTCAATTGTCTGGTTTATCATATGACATACTGGGCGAGGTAAAAACGAGCCTCTGCAATATTCATTTAACCCAGAAATGTCCTTGAAGTTACAACTTTTACCTGATTGCCTTAATTCGAAGATAGCTTGTGCAGCCACTTTTCTCATAGCATGATACTGTTTCAATAGCTCCTTTTAAATGCCCATCTCATTATCTCCACAGTTTCCTAACAAGTTGCTTTGCCAGTTATTTAAAAGACCTAGATTCGCGATATCTTGATCTGATGGAATCCTCAGCCTTGGATGGTACTTTTTACTCCCGATGAAATGGACAGTACAGGGATGTGAATGGAAAACTAACCACAATATTCCCCTGATATGCGCAATGCATTGTTATATTCCATTGTTTTGCAATTCAATGTATTTAATGGAAGATTCTGATACTGTCTTGCCAGCTCCTGCATTTGGCTTGATATTTCGCCTGCTTACGTCCTCGCAGATCGTTGCTGCTCAAGGAGGCTGCATTACAAAATACACTTATCATTATTTTTAGTATTGAGGAACCAATTAATTTTGTTGCTAAACCACTCTTAAATAAGATAGTCAGGCAACGGATGTTCACAGTACCAGAATGCAAAATCACTAGTGACTTTGGCAGTGTTTGTCCACTACAGTGTTCATTATCAAAAGGAAGCAAAATGTCATTAATTACTTAAGCAGACAAGTTTAGTATTGCCGAGTTGCTCGCTGTTATGAGGGGAATTTCAGGGAAAATGAAAATTAATGATCACTCAGTCTTTTTTGTTATTTTAAAGAGTTTATTTGGTACATGCAAA